TCTGAAAAGTGTTGTAAGTAGAGAGCAGAGTAATGTACAGAGGATTAGAATTAGCCTCTCAAGAGAGAGATATTCTACTTAAATACATTTTATATTACTTTGAGATCTTTCTATGAGATACTAAATAAGTCCAAATCATGATCCAAGTCAGCTGCCACTGACTGACATCATATCTTCAAGTACATTCTTGTACTCACTTGGAATTGCTATCCCAACACTCTCCCTCAATTCTGAGTTCTTAGAATACCTGCAGATAGATACTCATATAATAGTTTTGGTAGATCTTTAGTGAATATATCTACTAAGTTCTCCTCTGATATGCAGTATTGAACTTTGACTTTGTTTGAAGCTATGTGCTCATAAATGAAGTGATACCATATGTCTATATGCTTTGATCATGCATAGAATATAGAGTTCTCAGTGAATTTGATTACTGATTGGTTGTTGATGAAAATAGTTGTTGCTTCATAAGGTGGCAATCCTAATTTGGTTAAGAGTGCTCATAGCCAAATTACTTTCCAGGTTGTGTGTGTGAGGGCCATATATTCTGCTTCCATAGTGGATAAGGCTATGGTGGGCTATTTCTTTGAACTTCAAGTAACAGCCCCTCTTGCATAGGTACAGACATAACCAGATGTTAACCTTCTATCTATTCTGTCTTCTCTCCAGTCTGAGTCTGAATAAGGTATCAACTCATCTATAGTCCTTTCATATGTGATTCCAAAGTCTAGAGTTCTCTTCAGATAGCAGAAAACTCACTTCAAGGCTGTGATATGCTCAGCAGCCAGATTCTGCATATACTTGCTTAATTCAGTGACAGCATATGCAATATCAGGCCAGAATCCATTAGCTGCATACATTAGTGATCCAACACCAGTATGGTAATATTGTCTAGTGGCTGTGTCAACACCTCATAGATCTTCTGTCAGAATTTTCTCTAGCCATACATTCAGGTCTATAGGCATTTTGACTGGTTTGCAGTCATTCATGCCTATTTACTCAAGTACTTTGAGAATATATACCTTCTGAGATAGAGTGATAGTGCTCTTGTCCCAATTCCTGTCTATCTTTATGCCTAATATATATTGAATCTCCCTTATGTCTGTGACATTTAGCTTCTTCTTAAGCTCTTCTTTCATTTTAGACATGGTTTCATCATCTGGGGCAAGCAATGTTATGTCATCAACATATACAGCTATGATTATAGGACCAGAACTCATTTGTCTGATGTACACACATTGATCACTGATCAATCTGATGTATTCAAGTCCCAAAAATATAGCATTTAATTTATTATTCTAAACTCAGCCAGATTGCTTGAGTCTATATAATGTTAATTTGAGGTGTGCCACTTTTCCACTCCTATCTGAATATTCAGGTGGCTGTGCCATATAAATGGATTCATTGAGTTTACTATTTAAGTAAGCTCCAACAACATCCATTCCATAAATGATTAGGTTTCTTTGAGCAGCAATTGCCATGAGTAGGCAGAATGTGTCTAGCCTGACAACAGATGCATATGTCTCAAAGAAATCAATGCTGAGTACCTGTGAAAATCCTTTTGCAACAAGTCTGGCCTTGTATCTGGTGATTTTCCCATCACCATCTCTTTTCAATCTGTAAGTTCACTTGCAATCTATAAGAGATCTGTCTTTGAGTAATTCTTCCAGCTGCTATATGCCTAGAGAAGTCAATAAATTGTATTCTTCATCCATTGCTTTCTTTCAATGATGCCAGTCTGACCTTGTCTTGGCTTCTTCAAGGCTTAATGGCTCATCACTGAGGTTGTCTGCAGTTTCCCTAATGCATGCATAGTCTATTGCAATATTTATGGCTTCCAAAGATGATTCTTCTGAGGTACACTGTTGTTCTGATGTTTTCACAGCTCATGCACTTGGATTATGAAGTGTCCAGTAACTCAGTTGGGTCTTTGATGTGATCCAGGCTGATTTGTCACATGGCTCAATCATTTTTCCATACTATATTAGAAACTTTGATTTGATTAATGACACATCAGAGGCTGTTTCTCCTTTTGGTTTAGCATTTTGAGCATCCATAGAATCATCTGAAATGCTATCATTTCCATCCAGAGTCTGCTTGACTTTGCTTCCTGACTCCCCCTCAAGTGATGAAGGGTGAGAGACTATATAGTCAGTGTCTATAGACTCTGTAGTGTTGCTTTCAGGAAACATAACATTTCTTGAGGTCTGAATCTGCCTAGTTTGAGGGTTGTAATATCTCCAGGCCCTAGATTCATCTGTAAGACCTGTAAAAATAAATTCCCTTGACTTTGAGTCCAGTTTTGACCTCTTGTTATCTTGCTGCAATATCCAGCACTTTACTCTGAATTCTTGAAGTGCTGAAATATCTGATTTTGTACTCTGAAACACTTCTTCTGAGATTAGATTATTCTTGATAGCCCTGGTTGGTGATTGGTTCTTTAGGTATGTGGCATATGCCACTGCCTTAGGCCATAGAAACTTTGGTAAGTGATGTTCTTCTAGCATGGCATGTGCATGCTCCACAAAGATCTGATTTATTCTCTCAGCAACTCTATTTTGAGATGAGGAGTATGCTGCAGTCAATTCCAACTGTATGCCATTGTCCTGGAGGTATTCCTTTACTTCTTCATTGACATATTCCTTTCTATTGTCAATTCTCATAAACTTCAGATCCTTCTCTTTGTGGACTTTGATGTATTTTTGATACTGCTGGATCTTCTTTTGAATTTCCATACCTTGCTTTGACTTCAAAAAATACAACATTGTTCTTCAGGATTTTTCATCTGTGAAGCTTATATAATATCTTTCACCATAGATACCCTGAGTTCAGGCTGGCTCCTATAGATCTGAAAATGTCATTTCCTCTATTTCAGTATAATCCCTTTCAGCTTTCTGTGGAAATGGCTTAGTATGATGTTTGGCTTTTATGCAAGCTATGCAATCTGTCTGAGACTCAGCTGACTCATCTATATCCACCTTCTTGACCATTTTCTTTCTAAATAGTCTCTTTACTGATCTCATGTTTAAGTGGCCTAATGTTTTGTGCCACTTTTGCTATGATCAGGCTGATTTCATAGCATGGGCCTGGGTTATTTCTGAAACAATGATGTCAAGGCTGTACAGCTTTGATATTTTATCTCTATGGCCAATTATCTTGCCATGTGATGAGATAATATCCATTCTGAACTCTTTGAATTTGAGTTCAAATCCAGCATTTGTAATGCAATCTATTGACATAAGATTGAATGGTGCATCAGGACAGTGGATACACTCTTTTAATGTGACTGGAGTGATCTTTTCTTCTTCAACCATTTTAATCTTGACAGTTCCCCTTTTCAAGCCTTTGGATTTGCTTACACTAATGACTTTATGTCCTGGAGTTTCAACATAGTCAGAAAAATATAATCTATTTTTGACTATATGTCTAGTAGTGCCAGAGTCCTCTAGCCATGATACTCCTGAGAGTGAGGTAAGTGCAATGTCTGTTGCACAAAATACATAGTCTTCTTTTTCTGAGTCCAATTTAGCAACATATGTCTGAGTCTGACCCTTTCCCTTCCCTTTCCATGACTTTCCAGAATTCTTCTTTCCATTTGGGCAATTTGTCCTGATGTGACCAGTTTCCCCACATCTATAATATGTGACTTTTGAATTGTACTTCTTGCCATGTGCTGCAAGTGTCATGGTCTGATCAGAAGTCTTTTCCTTTAATTGAATGTCCTCCTGAAGAATTCAGGAAATCAACTTGTAAGAATCTTTCAAGTCAGCAGTATCCACTGATGAGATGAATGAATTCCATGATTCTGGGAGTGATGTAAGCAGTGTGATAGAGAAGTCCTCCTCCTTAACTTTCTGCTTAAGGGATGCCAGCTCCTCCTGATAGGACCTCAAAGTCCTAATATGCTCCTCTATGTTTCCTCCTTCTTCACACTGAGCTCTGAAGAATTTCCTTCTGACAAGGACAATTCCCATGGGTCCCCTGGACTCATACATATCTTTCAGAGCTTTCCAGGCCTCTGCTGAAGTCTTCAAACCAGCAATATATACCAGTGGGCCATCTGAAACCCACAATCTTATTGTTGAAAGAGCCTTTCTATCACTCTTCTTCCAATCTGCCACCAGTGTCATGTCTGCCAGGGCTGGGATGCTTCCATCTGCATAATCAATTAGTCCTAAATCAGTTAGGATATCGATCATCTTGATTTTCCATGTCGGATAATTTTCCAGGCCCTTAAGGGAATCAATTCTATACACAGACTGGCTATCCATGCAGTTCTACATGTGTACATAAAGCACAAAAGGGTGCAAAGTGAGTAGCAACATAAGTTCAGTTATGGCTGGGGCCCATAACCTGTTGTAAGTAGAGAGCAGAGTAATGTACAGAGGATTAGAATTAGCCTCTCGAGAGAGAGACGTTCTACTTAAATACATTTTGTATTACTTCGAGATCTTTCTACGAGATACTAAATAAGTCCGGATCACGATCCAAGTCAGCTGCCGCTGACTGGCATCGTATCTTCGAGTACATTCTCGTACTCACTCGGGATTGCTATCCCAACAAAAAGACAGTCTAGACCTTTGCACATCGTGCGGGACCAATATCGTCCTACTTATATCTATTAGATCATGGTCGATTAGCCTTGAGTAGAGTGTCATTTTGGGGTCTACCACTGGCAGGACAACTTCCGCACGGCGCGGTGAAGTCGGCTCTCACCATGTCTTTGAAAATTCCACAGTGCCATGTAGAGCAAGGGTCGACAATTCTATCATCGTTAGAATAATGTATCAAAAATTTTACTTCATTGTTCCACTTGGGCCTTCGATCGGCGCTGGATTTCAGTCTAGAGGGCCTGGTATCAGTATGATTCCACGAGGTCATCAGTGAAGAATAAGTCAGGCATCTTTTCTAAGATTTTTCAACTTAAAAGGGCTTCTTGGTCGTGGTGAAGTTGGACAAAGTGGTGACCCGCTCGACACCGTCGGGTGGCGGTATATGACGTCATCACATCGCATAATCATCCACCGTACTACCATCATGGTCAATGTCAAGTGGAACAAAGAAAAGTGAAATTTGCTTTCTAGTCTGTTGGTATTTCGCATACCGCTTACTTGCATACCTTTCTTTCTTTAGGTTTTCTTTTAATGTTCCGTTAGAGACAAGACTGGGCGATTTTCGACAGATTGTCGCAGAAGAAACGCACTTGGACGCCTTCAAACTCATCTACAAGGGTGCTATCATGAAGGATGACAGGGCGCCTCTTGGCGCTTACCATCTGAAGCAAACGTCATCTATCACGCTCCTTCCTCTCCATGATACCCTTCCGACATCCTCTGCCATCCAGAATACGGAGCAGACATCGCTATCCAACATCCAGCAGGAACTGGCCTCAATCCGCCAGGGCCTTATACCTTCCCTCAACGTATTTCTTGATGCCTTACCCCAAAAGCAGCCATCTATGTCCGCCCTAGAGAAGGAACATGCCCGTCTAGGGGAACTACTCTTGCAATCTCTCCTCCGTCTCGATGCCATCTCTACCGATGGTGAATGGGAAGATGCGAGAAGAGAAAGAAAGGCTGCGGTAAAAGAGGTGCAGGCCTTGCTAGATCGGCTTGACGACGCATGGAGTGCTCGTTGACGTTGTTTTCTATCTATACCCTCTCTATCTTACTTCTTCTCTTAGATTTGTCTGCGCCCCAATCCACGGTTCCGTTTTGTGCCTAACCCAACACTCTGACATGTGGCTTGGCCATGTACACTAAGGCTTGCTAACCTTTTGGTCACCCATATCAGGAATCTTGGCTCCGGGCCAAATCATCACCTTACTGTTTATTGGAAAGATCCCTAGGTTTGTGCAAGATACATGTAACTGTTTCTATTCTGACAGCCTGGGCCGTGCCGTGTAATACTACCTACCTGCCTGAGATCGAATAACAGGGAATCAAAATCAATGCCAAGCCAGATCAAAATGACCTTCGTAGGCCGTGAATTTCTCATCCTATATCTCGTTACATGTAATTCTATTGAGACAAACTTAAGTCAAATTGAACGCCCTCACAAGGGGTCCTCGCCACGGTTGAATATCTGACTTGGCCTCAGATTTATAGAACTGAAGACCTGGGACGTTCACAGCAGACTTTGCTAGACTTGTCTATCCAATTTCCGTCCGCAAGACAAGAAAACTTTTAGGTGCCATACGTTCTGTGATATACAAAGAATCAATCTGGCTCTAGTCTTCTTTTCCGATAACTTTCGTGGCCTATCTCTGAGGCATATTACAGGACCGACGTCGTCTCATTGTACAATCGGAATCTGGTGCTCATTGTTCAAATATCCAGGAGGTGTGTGGTCCTGACACAAACATAATATAGTACTTGCCAGATGCGTCTTCTGTTCCTGAAAATTCGAACCTTGTTAGCCCTGATAACTAACTTTCAAACTCTTGTGAAGGTCGTGACGGAGACTTGATCCTGGGCACATGGTGACTTACATATGTGACAACATAGATCGAAAGACTGTTCTTTACCTCCAAGGGTCTGATCCTTACCGACCATCATGTTAAGGTCTTTACCATGTGAAAGAGAATTCAATTTCTTGACCCTGGAGGTGCCAGACGTAACGCTAAGCTTTGCAGCACGTCTATGATAACATCTCGAACACGTCCCCGGTATCGTTCAAGGTCGCGATGGATCATGATCCCGCCAACATCATCGACCCTGGTCAGACTTTCTTTTCCTCACTATCTAACACACCCAATCCCGATATTTTAGCTCCTTTGTTTGCTCTTAGATGTCGTTGGCGTCGGAAATCTTTCACTCTATTACCTCTTACTACACCCCCTATCGGGATCCACCGTCACCACTAGCCTCAGGGTCGACAATCTCGGACAGTGGTTCCTCCACTGCCACATTGGTGACGCTTTCCTGCCACCTATCCCACCAACGTCATAAAAATCTTGTAGATTGGCACTTTGAAGCTGGTTTGTCTGTCGTATTCACTTAGGCCCCAAGGAACAGCAAGCTGGTCCCCAATCCAGGATCATCAAGCAAGTATGGGTAGACCTTTGAGTGTGCACCATCTATGGTGCTCTCCCTCCCGAGCTCTAGTAGATCACTCACTCTAATGCGGACACTGATAACGGTTCTTTTTTGCTTGTTCTTCGTCGGCCTATAACCTAATGTGGATCTTTCGTTTCTCGGTAGCTGATGACCTTGATCGTTTTATTTGTAGGGTTTATAAGAAAGCACAAAGATGTATTTAGGCAATGCGATATTTTATTTATTGTTACAAAATTCAAGTTTACACTGAGCTATTGTAAGTCTAAATCAAAAGATTAGTAATATGAACAGTAAATCTACGATAATTGAACGAATATGATACGATTTGAAGCTACAATTTGGTGATGGACGGTACGGGAGGCCCTCCTGGAATAAAGCGAGAAGACGCAGTCCACGGTCCGTCGACTGACGGCATTTCCTGCATTCGGCCTGTCACTTGAGCATTACGGTCCATCATAATGGCATGAACCTGAGGAAATATCAAGTTATATTCACCCATCGTCCGGAAAAACATACCTGCATTCTAAGGCCGTGTATATTGGCTCTTAGAGACCGAATTTCTTCATTGACTCTCAGCGCCTCGTTGGTCAAAGCAATCTCATTGCGACGACCGAAAGAGTCCATGGAGGCTGATAAGGAAACGACTGATTGCCGAAGGCCACTTAATGAGCCCTCTAATGTCGTACTGAGGTCCAGCGGTGCGATGTTGTTCTGAGCAACAGGCCGAGACGTGAGGCTTGCAGGATCCCAGGCTTGGCTAATGTTAGATGAGGTGCCGTGCAAGGGTCTCCAGCTGAAACTGCTGAGCTGCTCTGGGGAGGCCTGAGCCGAGAATGATTCATCCTCTGGGAAATATGGTGCAAAAATATCGGGCGTATCAGCTGATGTGCTTGGTGCCGGGGACGAAACCGTGCTTTCAGTTACATGAGGAGTTGACGAGGTCACTCGTTGCTGAACATGCGGAGATCGCTCCACAATTGAATGTGCCAAAGATTGTGTGTACCAAGGGCCGAGAGCTGTTTTTGCTGCGTGCAAATCCCTAGTCGCATTCTGTAGATGGCCTTGCAAGGCATCAATCTTGTTTCGCAACCCGAGGTTCTCTTCCCGAAGGTCCGCCATCTTGGACTCGTGAAGCGATAAGAATCCCTTTATCGCTTCATAGGGACAGGATGGGATATGTTTGGGGGTAAATGACCGTCGCTTCCCCTTCCATGAGCACCCGTTTGACGCATGAACGCACGAAATAATAGCCTCCGAGCATGTCTCCGCGTGCGAGGACTGTAGATCACGCGAATACTCAGCAGAACAGAAATCGCAGACCAATGACACGGGTAAACATTCTGCTTCGTGGTCCTGTAAAATTTGAAGTTAGCACAGCGAGGCAATCACGGACGGTCAAAATTTCGCGACGGGTATTTATTTTTACACAGAAAAATAGAAGCGCCATGGTAAGGAGGGCAAGATCCCTCGCTTGAGGTCGGGTAAATCATAGACCCGAAAAGGATGGGGTAACTATTCGCGAGCGACAAGGGTGCTCCGAAGGAAATAGCGAAGAGGAGGCCACGATAAGCTTCGTGTTTGGCAACTCGGACTACAATAAACCATAACGACGAAACCAGATTGAAAAGGATGTGAATAGTGTGACTCACTTTGAAGTCTTCGGAACTGAGCTGGGTTCCGCATTCATGACAAGTGATAAGGGTGTGACCACAGCGATGGCTTTCCATATCTTTCCGGGGTATGAGTTGGTCGCATTCTCCAGTGGGGCAAGGTACTTCAGCATAAGAGCACGAGTCTCTGAGATGTCCTGCAAGTAACTGCCGCTGGCAGGTGTGTGGGCACTCGGGGGAGGGGCATTCAACGACGAGTTCGTCGACCAGCTGGGAACGTTAGTGACAGGATCACAGTGTATATAATTGACTCACTGATCTAACAATGGAATTCGCAGACACTACCTCCTCCAATGTCAAGGGTAGTCGATCCACCGGACATTGCGAGGAATGCTGGAGAGCTTCTACGATGCAGGCCCGACAGAACGTATGGCCACATGTTAGGGTAGAAACAGGATCAAGGAAAGGGGTTCTGCAAAAAAAAATGAGGCAACGCGACAATAAAATACTCTGTATCATACCGGCATATACAACAGACCTGCATATCATAGATGTGAACACAAATTAGGACAAAAAGGGCTGAAGACTGACCAGATTTGAATTCGTAGGGTCGACATAGTTGTACGATGCCATTAGAATCGTGATTCGACTGTTATCGACGCTGGATAGGGTGGGCAACACGGAAAGAGAGGAGAATCGGAGTTTCGGTCCTGTGGCGGAGTGACGCAAGTCGGGCCGGCAAATTGTGACATGGTCACATCACTTGACTGTGAGGCGGATTCCAAGGGTAGGGAGCACCCACGATTTCTGTCGATATGGAGCTCTGTTTCGTCCACGAAAATGGGCTGCCGGCGCCGTCTCTGTCTCTGTCTCATCTCCGTTTTCACCTTCATCCCGCATCCCCAGGCATCGAGGCTCCACCTCTTCTCTCTGTTGTCAGTAATCCCTGTTGCCTGGTGAGTTTCCACCTCTTCTCATCTTACAATGGCTCATTCAAACAGTTTCTGGCCTTGCCACATCTAACCAAATCCCATCTAGTATTACTGCACCGTTATTGTACAAGTCGCTGGCGAGTTTTCTGTCACCCTCCCACCTCTCCCTTGTATTACTACATAGTTGTTCATGTGTTGCAATCAGATTGAGGGTGGGTTTAAGGCCCTCATTGTAGCCAGCCATGTCCTATTCCTCGAGCAAGCAGCAGAGGATATTTACCTAGCTGAGTTGCTTAAATGTAGTCAGCCAATCGCAGCACTTTCCACTTGCCAACCATCATCTTAGGATATCACACCACCAATCAATGGCGACCCACAGCATCCGCTCTTTCTATGACAATGGTCTCTGCTAGTCGAGGGCTACCGTGTAAGTATCTTGGGCAGCTTCCTTGGAATCCTTGCTCTGGCTAGCCTTGTGTCTCCCCACCGCTTGTTGACCAAGTTCGTTCATTATCATACAACATGCCTGATGTTCCATCCAAGACTTTATTTCTTTTCCTTCTCATTTTCGTTCCGATTCGTGGTGCACCTGCTCCTCAGGCGACGGGTATGCCATCTGCTATCTTGATCTAATTAGCATTCAACCCTTCACAGATATCGGCTCTTTTGACTCTTTGCTTCAGGACATATCTTCTTGTATGATTTGACTTGCCGGCAGTTTCTCTATGCCAATGCGGTCCGCAGCACTATTGACCCCCTCCACAGACGCCGCTACTTCTACCGTTACTTTTACAGACATGTCATCTATTAGCAGCGGAGACTCAGGTACTTACGTTCGTTGACCGACCCACTGTGGCTGAAACAATTCATGTAGCTTCGGCAACGCAAGCATATGTGACCCGGGTATCGCTTGTCGGGGGTACAGAAATTACCTTGGCACCAAGCGGAGCCACTGGAGATACGACTATACTAGGGTCTTCGACATACACCTTTGCTGCCCCATCATCTAGCGACCCAATTACGTCATCGGACTCGTCTTCGACACAGTCAAGCAGTACCAACTCTGTTTCTTCCAGTAATGATTCTTCATCTTCCTCAAATACTACGTCTTTCACAAGTAGTTCGACTAGCAGTTCTCCGTCGTCAACAATCACAAGTTCCTCATCATCGTCCTCGTCCAGCAGCACTAGTACCATCAATTCTTCATCATCGACAAGTAGCAAACCCTCGTCGTCAAGCGGGACGTCTTCCACCAGCTCTAGTTCGTCATCTTCGTACGTACATAAATGTATTTCTTTTCTGCCTGCTTCTCACCAGTGTTGTGAAGTGACGCCGGCATCTCTCTTCGTCACTTTGAGATACCACCCACTGCTGGTCTCGTTACAACATTGCTAGGCCTGTTCTTTGGCGCATGGATATGTTGAGCGAAGATGGATTGTTTTTCCGCGATGTTATATTTATTGACCGTCAGCATGTATACTTGTTGTATCTCATCATGACACAGTTATCAATCAATTTCACACTCCGGGTGCCGATGGGCCCATATTTTTATGATGAGGAACGTGTGGATTTACCAGGGCGCCCGAACATGGTCATATTTTTCTACCTCCTTCCTACTAGCTGAGGCAAGTCATTATAGAACATTGTTCCATTCCAAACATTTCTGCCCGTTTTGTTACTGCTCTTGCTAATCGCTGCGACGAGGTCGGAAAGCCCTGGTAGCCAACTAATCGTTTATTGTGCTCGGGAACTGGAGCAAGCCTGTAAGGGGATTTTAATTTTTCCGGGGTAGGAAACCAAGAATGGAGCATGCGTGTCCGAAGCAATTGAGAGCCTTCTGCAAGGCGATCTTGACCGTGTAATCGACGCATCTGTACTTACCTGCTGGTTTCCACTTGATCACAATCTACCATTTGGACAGAATATAGCACACGCGCTCATTCAAAGCGGAGGAGATAGAAAGATCCGTAGATGGAAATTAGTTAGAAAAGCGACGGAAAATAGAGTCACAAAGTAATTCTAATCGTTACACATTAAAATTGACGAACGTCAATTAAGACTAGTTGGAATCGTACGAGAAGTTGCGCAAGTCGAACCGGGACTGACAAAGCTGACCGAGGATGTAGTACCACCGGTAAAGATGCTTTCATCACCATGCGATTCAGTGCAGCCTTCATTTCTCGACGACCTACAAGGCCCAGTGCGAAGACATCGCAGTCCTTATCAGCAGCTACTCGCATAGAAACAAGACCTAGTGGGTAATGAAACAGTTGTGCTGAGGTATTAGCCCCGGTGGCTAAATCCACAAAGTCAGGGAGCCCATCCGAGTCTTCAAATGCGTCGAGATAGGGTCCACATACCATGGGCGCTACAATTTCTCTAATCAGCATGCCATCCATTTTACTAGAATGACAGGAGTATTTACTGGTTTCCCTTCTCGGGCGGAAGGTATTCGCTCCTGGAACACACCGAAAGGTCTATGGGATTGACCCAAAGCCTTTAGAAGGTTGTGAATCGGCCCGGCTTCTCGATATGTTCAGCTTTCTAAACCGCCTAGATGACATCGTCTCGCACTAGGGATTCGAAGGAAAATCCGCCATCATTGTCCCTGGCCTTGGAAGTACGCATGCGCGTGTTGATGAAAGGCGGTCGTTACAAGAATAAGACCTCTAGGGCGTGGAACTGGAAAATAAAAATTCGGGTAAGTATTGAACGCATAATGAAACAGATAACACTGCGTACGGCCGTTGCGTATGCAAAGCATAGTTCCCTGACGAGGCGTCTATCATACTCCTCAGATAACAATGAATCTAGGTTGACGAAATCCCATGCGACAGCCTTTAGCAACGTCGTACCTTGATAAATCAGATATCGGCAACAGGGGTCCGAGTCGAAGTACTCCTTGATGCTCGGTGGGTTGGGAGGTATAGGCGTCGAAAACCTCATGTACATGAGATACGCCCAAATATCACCGTGAACACCATAGAAGCAATTGTATGCCTTGATCTCCGTACATGCTGCAGTTGCCTGTTGCGTTGGTCGAGCCGTCATCGTCCAGGAGGTACAATGTTTCCGAAGTGGCCATGACAGGGAAGTAGAACTAGTTTTGCTGAGCAAGACTAGAAAGTAACAGCGTGAAGTGTAGAAGGTCAGCCTCAGATACACCACTGACAAGCCTCTTTATTGGTTTCGCTTCTACTGAACTGCTAAGCATGTGAAACGGTTACTTCGGGAGCTGGCTTGGATTGACATCTAGCCTTTCTGTCGCCTTTCTCACAAACGTGAGTACGCGGATCGTTCTAATGAGCTGTGTGTTGGAAAACATGAGCAGACAGCCGAAGCAGTTCCAAGTCGCGTTTTCCTTCAAGTAACAGACGAAAATTTGGCTATTGTTTTTGTTGTTGCACCATCGCTAAGGTCGGAAGACCCTTGACGGCACCTTAGCTCTTGTTCGTATTCGGGATCTAGAGCAGAAACCTTTCCAGAATTCATGGCACGCTAATATCTGACCGAGTTAACGACGCAGATGAAGCCTGATGGCAAGATTCTCAGTCTTGTCATTGAATGTATTAATTTTGAAACGTACTGATCAGGGAATGTGACGAGTTTGGTTAGGCTGGATGGAGGTCCACTTTGAAGCCGCTACTCGTGATATAGTGAGAATAGATGACACTATCCCTCTTGCTGGATGATATACGGCATTGGCCCAGTTGATGCGACGTATACCACGGGTCGCAGTTCCCAATTACCCGTTTGACACTGCAGTGAAGCCTGAAACACTGAGTCGAATTTGAGGGCAACGGCGCTCCGTTCACAGGCAAGTCTCCAGCCTACGAAATAAGTAATCCTCCCGATAGCTGAGCGCTGAAGGAATCGGGGTTTGATGAGACTTTCCCTGGCAGTGGTAGTGTAGATATCACTGGCTACAATGGACGTGATGATGAAGAGCAGCATCACGAGTGATACGGTCAAGTGCCATCGTGAAGATTTGCGCGATGCCGCATGGCTCGAAAGCGAAGCTGAGAAATCGGACATTTTTTTCCCGGGGGTAGATCTTGCGGAGCGGATCGCGTCCAATATAAGGTTTTGACATTTTTTTTGAAAGCACGCCTCAGTGCGATACTCGGAAAAGGACGGTTGCTATGGGAAACAAGTGGTGCCTAAGCCCCATTCCTGCGCAGCTCTGGAGTAAGAAAGCCTGGTCGAGGTAGATAGCCTGGAATGGCAGTAAAATTTATCTACAAAAAGCAAGGAGCAGCAGGAATGGTTGTGGCAGACAGGACGGATATCGATGGCGAGGGTGATGCCGGATCATGGGATACAGCAGCGTGGTCTTTATGTTAGAGTGAGAAATATACTTATATGAGAGAGAGTAAGGAGTACATAAGTTGGATAAACCTTTTTTTTACCGACACCGCGAGGGCAGCTCATTGTTGTCGTCGTCGTCGTCGTCGACGAGCAGATGGGTATAGGGACATTTGGCAGACGGTTGCCGGATCAGATCAGTATTGGCAGCAGGGATCAAGAGGGTGGGAGTAGTGGTAGTACAACCCTTCGCCAACCGCCTCTGACCCCGACCTTCACTTCGCCCCGCCTGGCCCCTATTCCGCCCAAACCTTCCTCCATTCGCTCATTCAATTCTTTCGCTTCCTCCATATTCCGTAAGCAACAGCAACCCAGGGCTTCCTCTCTTCGTTCCACCATTTCCGAAGATACCCTTTCCTCCCACCCTTTTGCTGTCATGCATCTCGCTCCTCTCCCTGTCGTCTCCAGCCACGATTCCGACGACGAAGAGGACTGCCCCGTCTGTCTCGAACCCCTCAGCTTCAGCTTCAGACTTCCCGGAGAAAAGCCTCATATCGTCCCAGAGTGTGGTCATGCTCTTCATGAGGTATTTAGCTCGCTCCCCTCGGCAAATTTTTTATTCACAGTTCCTAGGCTTGTTTCACTGCCGTATATGGCCCACCGCCCAGCCAGGCGCGCTCAACAGTTCCAAGGAAGTCAAATCTGGGTGTCTGCGGCGTGTGCAGGCGCCCAATGAAGGTCGGCGATGGCGACGGGGGGAAATCGAACAGTGCGTATCCTGGCATCCATTATTCGCCAAAAAAAAACCTGATTGTATGCTACTTTTCTGAAGAGCTGGCAGCCCTCACGGGCATGGGCGACCCAAATCAACAAGCTCTATACCCTGGCAGGGACACCCCGGTTACCCGCAAGCGACTGCAGGCTACAACTCAGTTCGATCCTTCAGAAGACGACCCGCTCGACCATACAGGTTCTATACGCTCAAATCCTGCCTCTGAGCATTCCCAATACATTGTCGCACCCTCTATTCAAGTTCGTCCAGAATTCTCTTCTCTCACCCGTACCCAGGACGTCACCCAGCCGCTGACATGTATCGTTGTCATCGAGCTCCCCGGTAAGCGCACTTCTGGCGTCGTTCCGGGCCCCGTTATGCCAGACAGTTACACTTCTCGCTCCAACAGCCATTCCCGACAAGAGACCTCTAACTCCGGTCACTCGTCTCCCCTACCTCACCATCCCAGTCGATTGCAGCAACAGCCCGAATCGTTCCAGACCAATCGTGCTTCTCCCGTCCCCCCTGATCCACCGAGCAATTCAGACCTCGGCTCCTACCCTAATATCATTATGCACGAAGAAGATTCCCCCTTCATCGCCATTACCGAGGACCTTCGGAATCGCATCATAGATTGGAAGGGCCATCCTCTCTCTGACCTTGGTCCTCTCCAGATGTATGATTTGCTCTCCGTCCGCCGGGATTCTCTGGTCCGAGAGTTTTATGTCTACCTCTTCAAGGAAGCTCTCATTTGCGTAGTCGAAGAGAAAAAGCGATCCCTCGGACGTCTCTTATCAAGCGCTTCTGGGCTTACCGATGCTGGGTCCATTGGCTCACTAACCCAAACCCAAACGAAAGGTGTCTTACGACTCAAGGGGCGTATCTATGTCCGCCATATTAAACATGTAACGGCAACCTCGGCTGCTGGTGAAATGTCACTCACTATTGACATGGAAGACGAGTTGGCATCCTTCATTCTCATTTACAAGGACCGGTCATCCCTCGAAGCATGGAAGAATACCATTCAATCTCTTGTCAACATGTTCCAAGCACAAAATCCCCAGCTGATGCAACAGCGACAAGAACAGCAACGAGCAGAGCAGGCGCGTGTTTTGGACATGGAAGAGTTTGGTGGCAACTCCAAGGCCATGCGTATGCTCAGCGGAAGCACTCAAACTACTGTCAGCACCGTTGACAGCCTTCTCAATGGTTCATCACGGTCAACGATGTCATCGTCCACATCACATGGATCATTGCACCAGCAACAACGTTCACAAGTGCATAGCAACAAACTCAGTCCACTGGGAGAGGATGACGAACTCAGCAACTATGACTCGCCCACGGGACTGGTCACGCCCTACACATCTTCTGGTCCATCAAACTCTCTTACCCCTCTCCCTCATCCTTCCATTGACCTCATCCTCGTGGTATCTCTTCCGCCGCCTAATGCTGCCCCAAGTACCGCTCAACTTAAAATTCGCGTAATTAAAACAACTCTCGATTTTGTTCTCGCTTCGCTGGGACAGAAAGATCGGTTGAGTCTCGTTACGTTTGAAGTCGGTGTTGGGGGAAAAGTAAGGAAGTCGCCCTTCTTGAGTGTGGCCAAGGCCCAGAGCAGGGCGAGATTAGAGAAATTTATCGATCAGATTGGGGTTAACCGGGCGGACGATGGGATGCCTCCTCCGGGTCAGGATGAGTTTTTGGTGAGGGGGAACAAAGACGAGAAGACGGATGTTGTCACGGCTGTTAATCACGGTGAGTCTATCTTCTCCTGAATGCATTGTTGAACCAGGTAGCCATAACGACGAATAGGCTTGGACGTGGTGCTGCAGCGAAAAGCGCGTAACCCTGTTTCTGGAATGATCCTCGTGAGCGATGCCTCGGACAGCACGCGACGTGCGCAAATGGATCTTGTTCTCGCCCGAGCCGAAGCGGCCAATGTGCCAATACACTCATTTGGTTATGGCCGGTCGCATGACCCCGCATCTCTATGGCTGATGTCGAATCATACCAGCGGTACATACACATTCGTAAAGGACTGGTACGACTTGCGCGACTGTATCGCTGGCTGCGTTGGTGGAATGATGTCTATCGGGTTGCTGAATATGAAACTTCATATGAAGATCGTCGACGGGCACCGGTTTCGTATTCGCAAAGTCAGTGGCGGCCCATCATCGATTCTTTCCTCTGACGGGCAGAATGTGGATGTTGACGTCGGGGAGCTACGGTACGGCGAGCGAAAAGAGATGCTTATCGAGTTGGAGCTGGATAATTCAGACATGCATCAAAAAATAGCTGCTCGTGCGGTGAGAGGCTCCGGCGTGAACGATCGACGAGCGTTGGATGCAACGCAGGAGTTTGTGCAGAGCATGGGCTTGGATTCTCTTACCATCGATGACCCAGCAGACCTTGCAGATGGGATGATGGATCGGATGATTGACGAAGTGCCAGTCGTCGAGGTTGACGGCTCGTTCTTTGATCCTACTGCGGCGAAAAATGTTACGCGACTGGCACACCCGGTATTGCTCACAGTAACTCTACTCCCACCGACGTCGGCGATACCGCGTCCGCCATCGACCGTTAGTGATCCTGTGATTGTACGTCGAAGGATGGAATTACTGGCGAGCGATATGATCACGCGCGCTCTGGTGCTGGTGTCGAGGAGAAATTTCCCGCAAGCCCAAAAGATTTTGAGTGAGACGAAGAGGATCCTGCATACGGTGCTGCAGACAATATCGAGGGCGCTGCCGCCACCAAATACCCATGGCAACACCGTACGCAACAGGAAGGAAATTCTTACGCTTGCGGCAGTGAGGACGATGCAGGCCATACTGCAGGACTTGCAAATTCTGACGGAAGCATTGGACGAGAATGTAGATCTATTTGCACGAGACCAGAGAAATTTTGGAGCCCAGCAGGTTTGTGTCATTGTTCTATTATCTGGCTGTTATTTTGGTAACCCCTTTTCTTACAGGCTATGATCTTGAGAGATCAGAAGAGCTGGAGTGGTCGCAGTGCAACAGAGCGGCTTTTCTGGACGATAGACAATTCCATTGAACTTGTGTCCAGGAGCACGGATTGGGTTGCTCGGGAGTAGGTTCCCGCTTTCACTCTCTGTTTCAGTCGGTCTATTTGCTCACGATTGTGTTTACGTTCTTTCGACTGGGGTTTTATTTTCTGGTATAATGTTTATCTACACGTTCTCTCCTCTCTTTGTGTGTATAAGTGTATCTACTTACTGATGACGACGCTCCTTATATATGGTCCCCCTACTTACTTGACTCTATTTCCCATTGCGTTGTCTTGTCCATTAATCTACCCCGCGGTTCCTTCCCCTCTTCTAATGTACCATCGGGCCTGTATACTTGTATCAAGGACAGGCGCTGTATTTTTGTAGAGTTTTTGATCTGTGACACCTATCCCTCGAAAAGCTTGAAAAACGTGAAATTGAATGATACTTGTTCCTTCCGTCCAAGTTGTATGAGTGTAAAACTGAATATATTCCTATCTCAGTGCGAACATGCAGAGGGAAGGCGCGAAATAGCAAAGGGACCAGGATTCCTTACTTAAGCTTCTCGAAATTCTTCTCGTACTTCAAATAAAGTTAACCATCTGCCAGTGCACGGCTGATTGCCTCTTGGTTCACAGGGAGCACCAGATATCTGACTTTTCGATACTTGACGATGAATGCGATTCGGACAGGACTTCAATCAACCGAAATCCAGCGCTCTTCATGTAAACTGTGGTTCACGCTTTTGGTCCGGGAGCTAGGAAATCAGCGGCCTCCTTAAAATTAGATTGCATGGAGATTGGGACTACCGTATGCGTACTCGAAAACCTTTAGCCAATAATGCTTCGGTGCAATTCAATATCCATCACGAGAGTAGGCGCTCTCGTGCAGTTCCGCTTAACCTTGGCATACAACTGAATGAGATGATCAACATCCTATCCTTCCATTGCCCTATGTGCGATGTGGCCACCTGCTCATGTACATTATTTATCTTTAACCCAAAACACCAATGTACGAAGGTGTACGCATTCAATCCGCAAACAAGCCACCCTCCGATTCACGCTCGGGAGAGAGATGCATAGGAGTCCGTATCTTTTTTCCCGTTCTGATAGCTTCCAGCTCGTCCCTCCAGTCCAAAAACCTCCTTAACAACCGATTATTGCTCCCCGAAGTTTCTTCCTGCTCCAGGATAGTAATAATATTCCCGAGGGCGTGGTCTAGCTTTCCGAACGCTTCGCTCATGAGGAACGGGTTGCCGATAAATTGACCAGATGAGTTGGGATGACGGAGAAGGGGGGGAGTCGGGGATGCTACTCTGATAGTGTGAGTGGTATTCTGGTAAAAACGATGGCTGCACCTTTGCTAGGATCGGTGGGAGGGTAAACCTAGAAATGGTTAGGGAAGAAAGCAAAATTTTGTACGATAAGTATATACCTGTCCTGGGTTTTCGATGGTAGGGGACGGCGGCAAGCCAGAATTAGAGTAGTGAGGGAACGTAGAATTATCTGTAACATTAGTTGGATATATAATGTAGTCCATGATGGACGAGGCAATACCGACCGTCTCCAGACATGGGGCAAAAAAAGTATCGATATGGATGAAACAGGGTGCTTATATAGGGGATGGACCATTTGTTATGATGACGTCGACATCTCTGTGCGTAGTGAACTTTGAACCTCGAGTGCAAGATGGCATCTCTATGACTCTGGGACATATCACCTCCGTTATCCGGTGGGTAGAACTATGCATGGAGACTGAAGGCGATGAAATTCAGGATAACAGAGAGAAAAAAAGATTTCCTTGTTCAATCCATACCCTCTAACAGTAGACCTACTATGTCAACACTAGTATTTCGCGTTTTCCTGAGTCAAAAGCCGAGAATACACTTGTATCTTCACCCCCATTACCATAGAAGCGGGACTGAGGCAAGTTCGGCGGGCAACAAACCCTAAAATACAAGCTGTATATTTCAGAATGAGATTAGGGCGCCTCAATCGCGATGTTCTTGTACACCAACATTATACGTGGACTAGAAAAGCCTTTTTTAAATGCGTGAAGTTAACTCGAGAATCCGAATAATCAACGTATAGACATCTTCCAGCCAGGCGAATTTCAGGTATGTTGGCGTTGATACTCTGCCGAGGAAGAGAATCTACCTTCCGCTACTTCATCTGGTGGGATGACAGATGGAACCAAATGTTCGGCACCAAGGAAATTAATGCGAACGTCCCCTAGCCCCGGAATGTTCTTTGTCGACCACGACAAGTCATATAAGCACCTCATTGCGCTGAATATGCTATTATATGTAAGAAAGACTACCCCAAAGGGTGAATCATCACTGATGGTATCGAATTGAGATTATAATCTCGAGTTGAATTAAGGCTCCCACCTGAATTTCTCAGAAACTTTCCCCAGAGCTCCGTATTGGACGAATGTTGACCGGTAGTTTTGGATAGAACGCCGTCGCTCCCTATTGATGCGTAGGCAAACCACTCGAGATGCACCCAAGCTGATGGCAGTGACTACTCCGCGAGGTACGGTATGGATGTCCTCTTCTAGGTATGCCTTGACCCCCGCTGCTTCAGCTGAGGACTGAATGGAGTCGAAGAACTGAAGAGCAGAGGCCTCGGTTATGAAGCGTAGCCTCATCGACTATATCAAAAGCTGAGGAAACTGGGCCGAGAAGAAGAGGTTACGACAAACCTTGTCTTTTTTGTAAAGCCCTCTGAATAGCACCAAGTGTTGTTCGGTGTTTCTAATGCTATCCATACAAAACCCGAGCCGTTCTGGAGTACTAAGGCTAGACATCACCACGATCCGATTGAGATTCAATCTGTTGTCTTCTGCACTTGGGTACCAATCCGGGAAAATATAGTTAGGATCTTCCTCTACCATAGATATGACCCGAGATCCTGGGAAGCCGGGGTACTCAAGAAATGCGCGACGCGCCTGGAGGAGAAATGAGAGGCTGTAAATGGGAGATGGGTATATGCAGCTCACCATTGCTGCTTGCCAAATATCCAAGAAACGGACGTCTACCTGTCGCCGCTCTGGACCGACACTGAAGTACTCCACGCCCAGATAAGAATAAATGATCTCCTTCATTTTCTCTTCATCAAAGTCTGGCTGTAGGTTGATAATTCTGAATGCCCGTGATAAATGGTTGAATCCTATCTCGGCGACTAGATGAGCAGATGGCTGCGACGACACGTCCTCTTCCAATGTTAACGACAGGTTGCTTAAGGAATTGTTGGAGATGCATTTCCTGGCCATCTCTTCGCTGAGAAATCGGACTGAAAGATGGTTTTTGGATGGTGTCACCGACTCGACTGGATTGGCCCGAATGGAGTCGACGATATTGGCGGCATCGTATCCTTCCGGGAGATTGTTAACACAAATGGTGCGTCTAGAATATGGTGGAGGCTTTGTGTGGGTGGAGTAAAATGAACGCGAAATTCTGTTGACGACGGAAAAGCGACGGAAGGCAGCGCCAAGAAGCATCGTCCCAATGGAGCAACAAGTCTCACGCCATCGACGCGCTGGTCGCGTGGTACGGCCCGAGAGGGTCGGGTCCTTTAAGTCTAACTTTCAAAGTTTTTCCGACTTCGGTGTCATGTCCTACTATAATAGCCACTTACTTTCCCTCTGAGGCGCCCGAATTCTCTTTGCCCTAATTGAGACGACACTTTTCTAGCCCAGCTCCAGACTCGGCGGCACGACCTCTTTTTCCCTTTGTCCCTCATGAGCACAGGAACTGCTCACATAGAGTGCGTCCTGTCATTATCATATATCAATCCGATATCGATGTATTCTTTAGTTACACTCTGCCTAGGCTTTCGCGAAAAACGCGAGCAGAAATCCGCCAGAGTTATCGCACTCTAGAAACACCTGTGGCTTCGCTTGTGTTGCAATACGGCGTAACGGCCAAAACTATCGTCCGATGCCTTAATAATCACTATCAAGATGACCTGACCTGGGACCAAGGGTATATTAACGGAATGAGAAATGATTTTTTCGGTTACGACAATGGGAAAAAATGTAATTCCTCCTCATTGCTGTCAAGTCAAGATCTGAATGTTTTATTTTAGGCCCCGCTGAGATCTCGCCTCCGAAAACACCAGTCCGACCACGAAACAACGAACATGAAGTTGGTAAGGCCAGTACGTGCAATAAATTCTATCCATCCCCAACACCTCTCAGGTCAACATATCAACAGGTAATAGACGAAAAAAAGCCATCCTTATATCCCACAAACGGGGTGGGCCGCCGTCGGCCAGCCTTGGATCAGGGCCCACTGTTACCAGAAGACTGACGCGCTCATCAGACAACAAAAACGACGAGCCAGATGTCATTACCATCAGTGATGACGAAGGTGATAACTGTCCGTTCTCTAATTAAGATAGGCTAATACCGTTTTGTCAGTCAAACCTAACTTGACTATGAAGGTTGAAGGCTTCGACAGTGCAGTGGATGGTTTCCTTCGTTCCCTCAATAGCCCTCACATGAAACCTATTTTTGAAAAATGCGGTATTTCGACCCGCAATCATCTTCTCAGTGTATCTAAACACATTAGAGAGAGCCACAAGCGTGAAGATCTGAAGAAGACATTCCAGGATCAAGGCATGACGATTGGAGACTGGTTCAACGTTGTTGATGCTTTATTAGAATACAGCGATAACCCCCTTGTTTGATTTTTGCCAGGGTGGGTTGGCAGTCAACGTATCTACATGTACTTCTTAAGTTCCGAGCTGCATCCTACTCACATCCACTGAATCACTACTTCCGATCAACTCAAATACGTCAAATGATATTCGCTCTTCTTCGTAATATTTCAGAGATACGATGAATTCACGCAGATGCCTTTTTTTTTCAACGACGCACAGGTCAGGCAACAGCTTGAGGCGATGTGTATCAGGGGCAAAATGTTTCTACTCTGGCCTTAAAGCACAGCACATGATCGCTGATTTCCATTTTCAGACTTTCCGGGCTACCTTCTAACCTCCATCATGTTCAAGGTGCGTGAAGCCCAGCGACGATTCGTCAACACCGTACGGTAAGAAGATATTTTAATTCAAAATTTCAAACTCTCCTGAACTGATTTTCATCGTCATTGCCAGCGTACCCTCCTGTACCCGAAAGGAGCGTGCATTAGTACGCGAACGTCACCGAACCAGTGGAGGAACCAGCCCAAAGACCCTCGCAGATGAATTCGGAATATCTACTACAGCTATCAGTAACTATATTCGGAATGCTTCCAATGACAATGTTGGTTGGGACCAAGAGTATGTCGACGGCAGCAGACCGGATTTCTTCGGTCTTGATTACGGTGTCAAGGGTAAGAGTAGCACTATTCGAGTATTTTTAATGCTCAAAGTTCTATCAGAATACATATCTTTGAAGGCTGAGAATCTTCTAGAAGATGCAGGTGCGTACTTTGTATTCGTCGCAAAAGTTTTCTTTGATCATACGTGGTGGCAGGTCTTTCGGCTTCATCCGCAACCGTAAAGATCTCATCAACCAGTGAGTATTTGCATTCATTTTCCCATCGCATTCTCAACATTCTGAACAGATGACGTGCCTGAAAAGAGTACCACTGCGAAACAGGTGCCTTCCCAGGCCGGAGTGGAAATCGACGGCTCGAGTGATGCCTCTTCGCAGGGTTCTCCCTCTGAACAGCAGGACTCTACCTCGTCTACGCCCTCATCCAATGATCCGGATCCATCGGTCTCTTCTGATTCCAACATTCCACCCGCCATTTCTCGAAAACGGCCGCGGTCGCCTTCTGCTGCCTCTTTGCACATACCTCCGGCCATTTCCAGGAAAAAGCCGCACTTAGACGCTTGGGAACCAAAGACTGACGTTCTGAATGCCGCCGATTCCGGACAGGTCACCCTTTCGGTAGTGGAAATTTCAACTTCGACGGTGATACCTTCAACTCCAACTTCTAAGCCTGTAACAGCTCCAGCCGGACCCATAACGCGCCGAATCACTGGGCGTAGGGGCCCACTTGTAGTCAAGAGTCGTCCTGCGCCTCATCCTCCCTCTCACAAGTTGAAACCAGCACAATCTAATGCTACTTCTAACGGTGCAGTAAGCTTGCAATCCAAAGGAAAAGGTATCAATGTCATCGTTGTTTTCCCGCACTTTTGTAATGATTCACCCGCATTTTTCAGAAATCCCAACGAAATCTATTCTCACCAACAAAGGTTTAGGACATCCGACTGTTGACGGATTCCTCCGTTCACTCAACAAACTTCATGCCAAGGCACAATTCGACAAGTGTGGCATACGTACCCACCAGGACCTCCTTGAAGTGTCTCGACAGATCAGCGAAACCCCCCAAAACCGGGAAGATTTACGGAAGACGTTCATAGAGCAAGGAATGTCAATTGCGGATTGGTTCACGATTGTCGCAGGAGTACAGAAGTATGCGGACAACTCTAACTAATTATTGGATTTGTTTTGGACACCCAGAGGAGGTTGCCTTAATTGTTTTCATTATGATACCGGTACTGCCAAATATCAATGATCTCAGTCGTGTTAACCGTACTGTCAGACTCCTCTACTGTTACACAGAGAAGCGGCCACTTGTTATCATGCCAGTCAACAGTAATGAGCAACCCTCCGGGGAGATACCTTGTATGCAGCCTTTGGCTCGTATCTCGACACCTGCCGTCAGGATGCAGACGATTGCATGTCGCCTAGTATCCGGTTACCGTGGATACATTCGATTCACACCTATAGCACTAACGATGCACTGCCAAGACAGCACGGCAGCTAAAGTTTTCATTGATAATTCGAAGTCGTCAGTTAACCAATCTATGTTTAGACGAGCTCAGGTTCCGCTTTTGTCACACTGAAGAGAAAAGTAGTGTGGCCCTTTGGTTGGATCCGTTGAAATAGACGCTAGTCACTATTAGATCTCACTATCGATGACCTGAAGATGTATTTTCCCGGAAACACATTTATAGTTGTACCGAAGTCTGGAAATATACTGAGGGATCAAGTCAGAGATCTGCATGATGAAATATCGAATCAAACGCTAACTAGCAGTTCAAGACTTGAAACCAGTCCGGGCTTCCTTTGCTCATCCAATCTAATTCATACTGCGTGTGGCTATTTAGACGATAGTACAGCTACCGTCAAATGGTTTCTATCAATACTGCCTTAGTATTCGATGACATTTTAGGGAAAGTTAAGTGGCTTGGTTTCTCTCAAAATCCGCGAATAACAGTGCGCCACATTTCTTACAAGTTCCCACCGAGGCCTTCTTAGGTGACGGTCACGGCGTGACAACAGGGTCTATTACCAGGACCACCACATTCAGTGATGTTTAAAGGTCGAGAGCCTAAGTGATACGCAGACGGCATGCGGTAAGTTTCTGTATGTGTCTTGCCCACCATACTTAAATTATCTTGTTACAACCAGCGTCCCATCCTTCTCGCGAAGGGAGCGTGCTCTGGTGCGACAACGCGACCGACAATTGAGACTCGAGATCTTGGAGATCAGCCGCAATGAATACTTGATAAAACTCGCGTCTGAATTTGGGAAGTCTGCGCCAGTCATTGATAGATATATTCACAATACCACCAAGGACAACTTGGCATGGGACGAGGAGTATATCGACGGACGGCGTAAGGATTTCTTTGGGTATGATTTAGGTGTTAAAGGTCGGTGCCTTGCCTGCGCACTGGCGTTGTTGAGTAAAGTGCTGATGCCAGTGGATGGCGTAGATTATTGTTTAACCCAATCTGCTAGTAAGCAGACTGCATCGACGTCTCGACGTGAGCTAACACAAGCGACACTAGTCGATGGCCATAGCAATGCTCGTCTCGGTGATGCTAGTGGGTACTATACCACCTTTCCTTTAATCCTGTTTGCTGAGACGACATACAGCTGCTGCAACTGGATTCGACTCTTCCGCTACCCCCGGCCAAAAACGAAAAAGGACAACTGAGCTCACTGACTCTGCCTCTGTCCTCCGCTCTTCCGATGTTTCTAACACTCTCCCAAGGGCCGTCGACAATACCACCTCCACAACCACGAACTCATCATTCTCGAGACTATCCTCTCAGCTGGCGGTCCTGCCGTTCTTTAAGCGAAAGCACTTCATTGAGGAGCCTAATATACCGGGTCACAATGCTAACTTTTTGTATCGACTTTCTCAGCCAATGGCCCAAGAACCTAGTTCACGGGGCAATCCTGATTCCCTAGGTCCAAATCCTGAAACTCCAGTGACTGAAAACTCAAAGTCTCACCTCACCTGCATGTCTGCCTCTCCTCGGCCTGGGCCTGTCATTATCTCTGCTCCTAACCTGAGACTACGCCCAGCGAAGCCTGTGACACAGATGGGTGCCCCTACTCTTAAACCCAGGTTGATACGGCATATACAAGCAAGTGATGATACTCCAGGTGAGTGTATTCTTTGATAATCCAAGGATTATACTGACGGCGCTATCTCCAGAAGACCAGACACCCAATCAATCGACGACTGTCGAAAGCTTCCTTCGCTCGCTCAACAAAATATATGTCAAATCAATGTTTGACAGGGTTGGCATATTGACACATGCCGATCTCCTTGATGTGTCTGCAAATTCGAATACCGCAGAATCGGGATGACTTAAGGAAGTCGCTACTCGAACAGGGTATGACCTTATGTGATTGGTTTACTGTTGTCGCCGGAGTACAGAAGTATCCAAATTTTAGCTCATAGCTCGAGTGTGTTGCCCACTTGGACTCGATTCTCGAAACAATGAACTTCTCGGACCTCATTTATATGATCGGTTCGCAAGATGACCTCCTTGGTTGTAGTTATATACAGTGTTTCTGCCTGTCATTGTCCAGTTCCCTAGTAGATATAGCAGATACAAATTGAGTTCTCCGCCTAGTCTTTCAGTTGACGGATCCACCGCCGTGTTTTGTCAACAAGTCAATGACTTCGTAGACTAGAACCAGTCCTTCCCGCAACTTGATGATAGTCGATCAAGTGTACCACTTCGATCAGCTATCATCGAGTTTCAATGGGACTGCTTCGAGTCTGATGACTTTGGGCATTTTATTAGCGTGCATCATCATGTTGCCTGCATGCCAGCACCAACACAGTACACATGCAATGGATAAGTTCAAGATGTCTGTAAAGATCCTGGATCGAAATGTTCGTTCGGCGAAAAATCAGTGCTCAGATTGGACCCCACCAAGGAGGTTTGTGCCCGTCATTGCTTCCTCAACAAAAATCACCAATCAATCCTTCTCGTCCACTCATACGCTCTTGTCGGCCACGTCCTCGGAACCACATCCATCGAAAGCGGCTGGTCCTTCTCAAAAACCACCTCCTCAAAATGTTTCTTGAACAGCCGTATATCGTCTTCGGTATGCATCTGGTATTCCTGATCTGTGTCGCTGTCCGATACCGCCGTCATCGGGCTCGGCGGGCGTACTATGCCAAATGGATTGCCGTGATATACCAGGACTTTGAGGGTCTTGATAGGGCACGAGCGCTTGGCGCGTGCTTCTGCAATGGTGCTGACAAAATAGGCGGGAAGCGTGGCGTCGTGTTCGATGCCTAGGGTGGTGAGGGAGGGGCAGAGGATCTCATTTTCATCTTCATCTTCATCCAATACCGAGGATTTAGAGGAGACATCACTACCGCTCCTCTTGCTCCTCGCCGTCGATAGGTGGTCATCGTCGCTTTTTGGTCGAAGAGCTTGCAAAACTGACCGTGTCGTAGAGGGTGAACCAAAGGCGAGGATTCGAAGTGAGGATAGACGCGGGAGACGTTGGAATATATGTTTCCAATTCGACGATGTCAAACGATTACCTCTCGCACAACTGTCTCTCACGCCGATGTCTGTTACGTCATACAACGGATATGTGGGTAATACAGACTCGATCTGAGAAGCGCTGAATGTGCCGTACATGTACAATGTTTGGACCGACCCGGCCACAGAGATACAAGGCGTATCCAGAATGACGAGGGGTTGACGAGCCAGATACCATTTTTTAATATTGTGTAGATTGGCTAGACGTGAGTTATCTGTAGGAAAGAGTTTCCCAAAATCTTCGTCGGGATCACGAAAGGGTACGCCCCAAAAGTACATATTCGTCTCTTTGGGCAAGACCAGGTGGGAAAGGAGCCTGGATATTATCATCGCGGATGGCCAGTCTCCAAGGTCTAGCTCGCGCAGGTGAGGAAGTGTAATGAACCGTGTTTGTGAGGGAGCAGGGGTATCAGACGCGTCAGGCCTGATAGGCCCTGCACGAATAAGATTGAGCTCCTCTAGCCGCGGTGATTGCTCTATGAAATCCAGAAACTCCGACGTGGTCATACGACCTACATCGCATTGGTCATGCAAACAGAGGTGCGTTAAATTTGTGAAAAGGCCAACAGGCCACGAAGTGAAATGTGCGAGGCAGAGCTGTCGGACATTGGGCATCTGTCCGCTGAATAACTGGGGTAGGACGCCTCCGACGACGTCCCTGCCTTCTGTCATGATAGTCAAACTGACGAGATGGGGAGCAGCATCCGCTGCACACAGGCGTTGATAAATCGACGTGTCGCCCTCCCACCCATCGGCGGCTATGTGGAACTCTCTGAAGCGGAGTGAATATCGCAGTGTGGCGTCTAGGACCTTCTGCGACACCCCAGGTTTCCTGATACCCAGGTACAGCGTGAGCGGCGCAGATGCCGAGCGTTTTAAAAACTTTTCCAGCATGAGTGAAGTATCTATGGAGGCCCAGAGAAATGGGGACGAAGCGATAACTCCCCTCCAGCGGCGGCAAACGTGAAGCAGCGACAACCAGTCACGGTAGTGTTCGTCGTACTTTGAGACTGTGCCGTCGTTTAGCATGGGGAAAAAGCTCGGAAGATGCTGTTGAGTCCCATAGAAGATGGTGGCCAATAGTTCAGGTGGTAGCCGATGTATGGGCTGCAGTGAATTGCGGAAGCCGCGAAGTCTCGCAGCTGCAATTTGAAGCTGCTTTTCCAGTTCATCAATCTATTGAGTATGGTATCATTTAGTGGTAATCAAAGTACAGTCAAGTAGACGCTACCTGCTCTATGAGACCGTGGACTGTCTCCCTAGTATGCAATGCGTCAGAAGCTGTAGAATATTACTGAGACGCTGGTGACTCACTTTGCCCTCTTCTGGGCACCGACTACTTTGTATGTCAGAGCATCAATCAACTGTTGCAAAGTTAAATGTGCGCCAGCAGGAGCCATTGAGAAGAAATGAAAGATGGAGCGGTGGTCGTGCAATTACAAGTTGATTACAAGGTATCCGAAGGTCGATGGCAATCACGTCCGCGGGAGCTAATCATTGGTGGCGCGGATACTGCCGTGTCGGAGATACCGGCCCTATTCACTGCTAAAAGTTTCTTGAAAGAATTCAGCGTGTTTCGGAAACGAGGAAAATAAAACACAAGTATCCGCAAAGTTGAGCTTTGCGGATACTAGATAGCTGTACTCGCCAAAAGAAACTATTCGGATAAGCATCAGGGAGAAAGCATGATATATGAACACTCCGGATTTCAATTTGGGCTTCCAGAACATCAGAGCTCCTGCTGAAAATACGACGATGGAATCAGAATCATAATAGTACAGTACGTGGAAACTTCGGCTGCAGGAAGTAATACAGGCTATGATCTACATATATAACAGTGACAGATGGGACAACTTATAATCCCGTAACATAGGCGGAAGTCGGTGTCGACACTTCCCACTGCATCACAACGTTCAGCTTACCCTGCGGTGGAATCGTACACAACCAATTAATCTTCCCATCCTTGCCCAGTGCGTCGACATCAATACCACTTTCATCTGATCCCTCCCATTGAGCCACTACACCCTCGCTGACCTGAACATGCGGAATAGCCCTCGACACGTTGGTCATCGAAGCCTTGACTGACTTTATGCTATATACATCGGGAAGCGACAATGGAGGGCTGATCAACTTGACGCTGATCTGATCGTCCTCAGAGACCGGAATTTGGTCAAGGATCTTGAGGTTCTCGACTGTAGTCGTTGCCTTGGTGTTGTGGATGGAGATGCGTTGGGTGTAAATGTAGTTGGAGGATTTGTTGTAGAAGCCGGTTTGAGAGACTTTTTTACTCTGAGGATGATAGGTGATACGAAGAGATGGGTCCAGCCTGCGAACGATGTGGGTTAGGAAAGGTTGTAGAATAGTTCAATCTTCTGAACGCACCCGAGGGGACAATCAAAGCTCTCTTGAGGGCTGACAGAAGGCAATAAAGACCGCGAGATAAAGCTACCATCGACGTAAATGCTTGCTGAACCCGCAAGCAAAGAATAATCGGACGCATTGGTGATTTTAGCCTACGAATTGTTAGAAAGGCGTGTCATGACAAGCACGACTACTACAGACCTTCAGATGAGTCTTTGTGTCTACCTTTGGGACTGAAACCCACGACATAGAAGCGTCGAGGTTCATCTGGACTATCGTAAAGGTATGCTCATCCCCATCAGCGGGGATAGTAACGCGACCGGGAACCCTATACGTTGCGCTGATATTTCCCTTGGAGGTGACAGACGATCCGATATATGCCATTCCGGGGGTGCGAGATCCTCTGTCAAGCGACCTAAACAACTTGGAATCGTTTAACACAATAGGTGTGAGCATTGGAACGGGCCCGGCGCTTCGACTCAGGGACTGTGCTTGTGGCGGGGAGGGCTTGTACATGGATAGCGTCCAGGGACTGAGGGTGGGAACACCAATGCCATAAGTCGGTGTGACGGTTTCGAGAGTGAGGGGGACGTCTTCCCAAGACTACGAAACATGAGATTGGAAACAGTAGCGTCAACGCTGCTCACCTCGCCAGTAGCCTGTTTGATGTTGGCTTTATAGACGAGAGTAACGGGACTCTCTTTGGTCTGCACGTTAACTCGGACGTCGTAACTTGCGTACCAACTGGCACGGTTGACAGCTACGCGAGATGAGTATGGGAAGTTTGGAACTTGGAGAGAATATACCATAAATCAAGATGATTTCCACCTCGCCCCCCGAGTCTGCAAATATACCAACCGACACGCGCTGCTTCAACAAGCTATTTGCCTCTGGCGGGCTCGACAGCATCAGCTGCTCGGCTTTGATAGCATCCTCAGTGTCTTTGAGCTCCTTTTCCAACTCCAAGACTCGGTCATCAAGTTTCTCAGCGACGGAGTCATAGTTGTCCACGACGACTGTGAGCTTGGTGGGGTCGATGTACTGGCTGTTCATTGTACCGAGGTAACTCTCTAGCGACCCAAGGGCCTTCTTGACCCTATCCAAAGCTTTCTGTAGTTGAACGCGCTTGTTTTGGAGGTCAACGAGCTTGGCCGATGTGGTGGCAATAGGAGGCGGAGGTATCGTGGACAGAACGACATCATGTATAGTAGCAGCGCCTCGTCCTTCCACCCTTTACCAGTACTGTGAGCATCCTATGAATCAAGGGTGAGAAGTAAGACGTACCTCAAGGACTGGGCCTCGAGGACATTGGGCAAGCCATTGATTTGCACCAGGTTCTGCCCCGTGCTGACGGTAAACTTGAAGGAGCGGGTGATCTCTGCACGGCTGCTGTAAAGGCTGACTTTGGCGACTTTGCTGTCCTTGATGGAGGAGAGCTCGACGTTGATGGCGGGCTCGAAGGCTGGAGGAGTGTCGTCGGTGGTATGCATTGAACAACGAGGATTTGTTATATATTTACTTCTACAGCATGTTCAAGTTATTCTATTTATTGGTGTTACAGCATACAGTCAAACGGAACGGATTACAACTTTCGGCAATTCTGGTACAACCACAGGAGATCTACACTCCCGCTCTACATCCTCGAGCACCCTCTCCACATGCTTTCTCTCTGTTCGCTCTCGAACCAGATCCAACTGTGCTTTGACTAGCAGTTTCGGAATATCTACCCAGTCCAGTCAGCCCCCAACGTAAACATGGAAGAAAGATAAATTGACCTGTTGTAGGCTGTTTTCTTACGGGCTGTATGACGCCTATTCTCTCGAGACGCTCCTCAACCATCTCCGCTTGAGCAACAATGGTAGTCATCTTTCTGCGCATATCCCAGTACTCTCTCATGAGGCTTGACGCTTCTTCGTTTTCTGTACATGGTGCGGGCGTTGGCTGGGCGGAAGCATTTCTCACAGCGTCCGGAAAGAATGACAAAAATTGCTCTGTCGATGTCTGAAACAGTTATGAGGCTCACAGCGTCAAGTTTTCACGTAGGGCCTGCCTTTGATGCGGGTACCAAAGTGATGGGTGAAAGCGGCCTCCGTCTATTGATGACGGCTGCAGGTTCCTGGCAAGTCTCCTGGGATAGTGGCATAGATTCTTCGTTGTCTGTAACCGCACGGCACGCATCCTATACACGTTGTGTCACATCGACAAGTGCATCCTGCGAGCCGAAGAGCACACACCTCGAACCCCTTTACATACTGGTCAAAATCAGTCGCCAAGGATTCGCACTGCTGATCCGCTGTTTTTCTTATCTGGATTTTGTCAGATTGAGAACGGGACAGCCACGAGTTCGTAACGCGTTTTGTAGGACTCGGCTTTAGTTTCTCAAAGTCTGTCGGAGGTCTACAGGAGGTTAAGCCTGATATATGCGCAACTAGAACAAAGATTACGCTTCGGAGACAAGTATCTTGTCACTGTGGCATGGGGTCAATGCTTGGACAATACTGAGACCACCTTGGATTACTGACATGGAACAATGCGCCTTTGTCTTTTTGTAGCCCAGCGTGTCATCGTCTTGATTATCTACAACATGACAAATCGTAGTGTATAACGGCTGTTTTCGTCAGATCAAGACAGATATTGTAGCGGCGTCAGCTACATACTGAATACCTTCTCGTTGTCCAAGAGAATACCATCCCTTCCAGGCTCGGTGATCGAATATTGACCTCTGGCGGTTGAGGCATCTTCATCGCAATCAAATCTTCACGCAGTTCCTTTACTAGATCCTTCAGATGGAGATCCAGCAGCCTCGTGGCTTTCTCTGGCTTGTACACAACGCACGCCACGATGTCCAGGGTGCGATGTCTGGTTGGCATTTTTCAAGCGGTTTTGAGGATATGCAGTAAAAAAAAAAAAATAGCGTGATGGAAGCAGATAACCATGACATAGCGTGGTGGCCGGAAACTTGAGCTAAAGGAATCTGAAATTTGAAAAGAAGACTCTGGTGGCTCATCACGTGGCCGCGATCTGCGCTAGTCGTCGACAGCGATTCGCGACAGGTTGCCACAACTGAATCTTCCCAAAAAGCCAGTTGATATGTCCCTTATAAATTTCACCTCCTCAAGTCTCTCTATGACTTCAGAATGATGATCTGGATGTAAGTACACTGTACTAAAGCTAATGATCCTTCAGCACTGCCTACATACACGCCATAGGATCGAAGGACACCAGTCCAGAGCGGAAACCCAGTTCTTCCAAACGATATCTAGAAATTCCAATATGTGCTCTAAGATACCCATCGCTAAAGCTCAAATATGCGTGCAGCGCCACTTTGTTCGGGCAGAGTGTATCTAAAATGTTCCGATGTGCTTGCACGGTGGTATCCACGAGCTTCTGAACAGCTTCGATTTTGGGGCAGTTGTCACACGAGGCAAGAAGAGAAACCTGATTCATTACCTCCCCGGCACTCTCTTCCTTATAGAAAGAGAGCACGTCGCTAAAGGAATAACAGTCACTCCCAGGACTTGATAATCACATCCAAAAGAACTGACTTGGCACATCCTATGAATACCATCAAATCTGGCAGAGCGGTAATGTACGCAGTGATGGGAACGGAAGATGGGAATATGAATATTCCAAAAACTTCGTTGAAGCCAGACATGTCTCTGGAGAATGTTGTGTATCTTTTGGCAGACGCAGGTATCTAAGATCCTGATAAGCAACCCAACTCAAGCCAGAGTATGCCACTTGCATTCATTCCTTGCGTGCGAGAGTCAAGGATGGCAGACGTGATAAAATTCAGGCTGCCTGTAATGATGATGTTTGACGCAGGTGAATTCGGGAAAAAGGTTGGAGCCTCCGTCACAAGAAACCAGTACAACTTCTGTATGGGATCGCTTGGAGTCGTTCTCCCCGTCACGCATCTAAAAAGTTCCTGGGCCATGTTTTCACCGTCCGATTCGTATCCTGGAGTGAATTTGTCGTCGAGGTAAAAGAAGGACGCAAGATAAAGGATCATGTAAACGCGAGATGGTATGTCCTGAATATGGGGGAAACAGGCGGTTATGGTGTCGGCCCCTTGCTTTATGTATGGTCTGAATGACCCTGTGACGTGCGCGTCTACGATGAGACTCTGGCGGGCTGCTTCTTTGCACGCCAGCAAAAACAGTTCGTTGTCAAATGGGATGGATCGCTGCGTTTGAAGATCGACAGAGCATCGATCTAAGAGTAGATGTATGCTCTCTCTGAGAGATCGTATCTTAAAATGACTTAGATGAAAATGGTAGAAGAGAGGGATCAGCTTACCGTTTCCACAGATAGCGTAGAAGGGGCCATCGTGGATAGATTCCATATGGGATATTGCAATATATGACGGGGAAGACATGATGAATCAGCCCCAAAACATTATAGTACTGGTAGATGCGCGCAGCTTACGAAGCCATCACCGGGGTGGCCGTATCACTGTAAACGGTGTGACGGTGAGGCTACGTACATTTACAATACTGCCGGTAGCCCTGTGCTTGTTATTGAGGCGGCTATCGTAAAAGCGGCGATGTGCGTTGGATATATATAAAAGCTCTGGCAAGCTGAAGAAACATAGGCGCAACCAAAGATGTTTCTTGTGAACACTTCGCCGACGCACGAGTCTATATTTCTTTAGTGAGCTCCTCGAGAACGAGACTCGGAAGTCAAACAATGAACCTCACCTTCATGACCTTCTGGTGGTGGTCAAGAATGCAGACATAATGAAGTTGGGGCAACTGTGATGACAATTTTCAGCGCACGATGATCTGTGAGGGCTCTGTTCATCAGGTGACAGAACAATCACTGCAAGGCTCAGGGATAGGTTGGAGTATCCCGCCGCAACCGAAAAGCCCATGGGAGATTACACCGCCGAAAGTCGATGCACTCTGAATATACTTGTTGTCGAAGTAGGAACCTGAGGCACATTTCGCCTAAAGTCCACCGACGCAAGAACCAACGATTGAGAGGCATGGATAAGTCATTTCAAAAGCACGGATAGGGAAAGAAATGGTGGTACTCTTCACTTCAAAAGGACACATTCTGACGGTGGACGGATCCGAGGCGTCTGACCCTTGTCCTTGATGTAGATGGAGATGCATCGCCTAGCGCAATCGGTACTGTCGTCATTTTCGACTCTGGTTGGTCATCACCATCTGAATACCATTCGGGGACCTCCATTCTATATCAACGGAAGTTTGCCAAATCCTTGATGTTTCATGGTTAACGAACATCGCGCGCGAACAGCACAACCTCAGATGAAGGTGACTCCATCCTCTCTAACACCCGGATTGATCAGTTCCCGCACGTCCAAAGTATACTGCTCTAACGCGATATCAAGAATACCCATGCTTCCTTCCAATCGTTGCTGTGATTCAGGCCGCAAGCTTCGATGCAGGCTGTCACAGTCTGAAAACAAATTTAATGAGAATTCCTTACTGATGTTATTCATACACATCGCTTTTGAGGCTGCCCACGATATCCCTTCCAGTGAATAAGATTTAGCATATTCCCCGCTAAAAATACAAATTATACAATCCTGACTTCCGTTACAGCACCACACCTCTCGACTAGTAGCAGCTGATCAGTTCATATCTACAGATATTAGGGTCCAAAGACGGCCGAGATCAACCTAGCACTAAGGCAGAGAAGAAAGGTCACCAACCCAGTCTTTAGTGGCGGTTCAACAGATCGGTATTCAAAGGCCAGGGCCTACCCATCCACGTCACAAGCTCCGTATGGTCACGATACTCGTCTCCAGTATTGGGATGGATGAGGACACTAGATCGACAGATGAGACTCGGCTACACACAAACAAGGACAAGTTAACTGACGAACAAGGTCCACGGTTCACCGCTAGCCAGGAGAATAATGTCCCCGTCATGTGAGGCGTAAAAGTATTCACTTCAAACATTGGGACAGGATGAGGCCCTACAGGTCGCTCCCAGAATCGATAGATTCTCATCTATACAGAAGATTATTTAACCTTGAAACGGAAAGAATAAATTAATGTGTACCTCGGGAAATTCTCTTCTGATTCTTTCGTGCAGCTTTCTGGCGTACTCAATCTCGTCCGGGGCATTCTGCATATAATAAACTGTCGTTCAGGTATCAGTATCATCGACCCCGGCCAGAATGCCAACAGGACTCGCTGTGAAAGTCGAACCCATTGTTATTCTTATCAATTGGGTCCACAAACTCGTCGTAAGCCTTGCTGAGCACTGGCTTGCCCTGCTCGTCCTTCTGTATGTCGTTCGTCAGCGATTTGCCGTCTGGGTTAGTGCCGGTCGGCAGAAGCGGGGCATTCTCATATCCAATGAGAGGAGAAGGGTATTTGGCCATTGTTCGGGGTGCCCTAAGGGGTGGTGGTCCTGCGAAAAGGCGGACTGCATCCTTATATACTGTTCGTCATGGCATAATCGCATGAGTAAGTCGTGTCATCACAGTAACGTAAGCACCGGTACTCAGTGTGGAGCACTCGTTATTCAAGGACACTGGACCACTTACTAGTGCGGTGATTATGATGTATCCTTTTGCAAGTAGTCGTGGCAGGGTAAGCAATTCGGCCACAAAGCCCCCCATTCAACGTGATGTATATCGAATGAATGACTGAATCTTGTTTCAAGGGCCCGACAAGGCCTACGTGTACAATCTAATGACTACGCTGCGGTAGGGGTAAATCACGGTTGGTGTGGCATGCATCTGGTGTCTACTGTGCTAAGTACGGTCCTTTGGATGTCGAATAAGCAACACTTTCATATAATCTATTAGTTCAAACTGAGATTATTGCAATTGGCCACTTTCTGGAGGGGATGGGTAGGTGGGAGACTGCATAATTGGGCTGCAAACTTGTAAGTTGCCACACTGAAGCTCAACGTCGCCTCGAGAATATCCAAAATGGTACTGCATATCTAACAATGGCGCTAGCGTATGTTTGGCGCAATCGCTCAAATCTATGACTAAAAAGTGGAAATCACGTGCACAATGGCAACAAAATTACTCTGCTGGAAAAATACCCAGCTCTTTCAAACGGTATCTGGAAAGTCCCGCATGAGCCCAAATGTATCCATCACTGAAACTCAAGTATGCATTCAATGCCTCCTTGTTCAGTCTGAGGATATCCAAAATGTTGTGGTGAGCTTCAATGGTAGAATCAACAAGCCATCTCACAACATCAGTCTTTGTAGAATTACTGCATGAAGCAAGAAGGAAAACTTGGTTTAGTTCTTCCCCAGCAACTTCTTCCTTGTAGAAAGAGAGAATATCACTGAAAATTTAAGATGAGTTATTTATTTAATGAGGTAGATAAATGAATGGACTAACTTAGCAGACAACATGAAAACCATTAGGTCAGAAAGTGTTGTGGGATGACACAAGTACCTGATGTCAACCTTATATAAGCATAGACAGTTTTGTCCTGAGTTGACAGTCAATGGCCTTTAAGCAATTGACCATCATACTCAGGTGAGTAGTAGTTATATGTATCTCAGCCTTCAAGCAATTGACTATTGTACTCAGCCTGGCTATTATTCACTGTGTGAAAATAACCTGCCTGCAACAGGTTATGAGCCCTGTATTTTAAGACCTATTTCAAGTTTTTTTTCATCTTCATATCTTGCTTATACCCTGCTATCTCTCTATCAGTCACTTTACTACTGAAATAATATCATTACATACATTATGCCATTCTTTAATATAATCAAAAAGAGCTTCAACAATCTAAATGCCTTCAATTATGGTGAGTGGGAAGAAAACATGTCAGCCCTACCCAAAACTTACTGTGAGTACCTTATCACCATTGACTGTGACTCTGAGAAGCCAACATACCACAAGAAGAAGAACTGGAAGGACTGAAAGAAGACTCAGATATTGGCTGCTGGCATGATCTATCTCTGTCTTGATGAGTCCCAGAAGGCTCATGTCAAGAGCTGCCTTGATAATCCAGAGAGAATGTGAGACACATTAAAGATACACTATCAGCAAAAAAAACCAGTGACTTAATTTGTAGCCTATGACAGCTTCTTCAATCTCAAGAAAGAGACAGAAGAGTCACTTTCAGACCTTGTCAGTTGGAGCACTCAAATCATGAGTTATATCTATGCTCTGCACTCTGCTCATTTTGGCCTTTAGTAGTTAGAAAAAGAGCTTCTTGTTATGACTCTGATTCATACACTCTCTCAGTCTGAATTTAGAAACTTCATCATATCACTATTTTTTCTCTCTAATAAGCTCACTCTTGAAGGACTCTGCACTGCATTTCCCAATGAAGAAAACAATCAGAAGCTACATACTAGTGATCCAGCAGTTTCTGTTACTCTTAAAGCTACACTTTTTCATTCAGCTATAAATCCAGCTACCAATGCCACTGTAAAATATGAATAGTGCCTTTATGAGAATCATGCAGAGAAAGAGTGTATAACTAAGAAGCTCTCACTTAAACAGGACCATGAATGTGCTGCTAACTATACTGCTGAAAAGCATCATCACAAGAGGGCTGGAAAGAAAGATTTGGAAGCTATTAACTCTGTTGAGACAAAGAAGGAGACTGCTAGCCAAGCAAATACTAATTTTGTTAAGCTCAAACTCCATGTGACTATTAACACATGATGATAAACCGATAGAACTGTGCACTTTGGGTTAGACTATCAGAGTTCACCGAATATCAATGTTGTTGATGTGGAACAAAGCGAAGCTATTAGCTGAGCTCGAGATAGAATGGTAGTGTATAAACTTTAGTTCGAGACTGGGGTATTACAGTGAGAACTACGCTACTTAAATACTGTTCTGTTATCTGGCTATTAATAAGTGTTCACAAAAAGTTGTTGTCTTGCTGTGTGCTGTTACCCCTACCATTGCCAGTCTCTCTACAAAAGCCCATTGTCCTGCTGTGTGCTGTTACTGCTGTGCCGCAGTTGGAGAACAAAAAGAGTATTGTCTCTCCCTTCATAGCACACAGCAGCGCAGTATGACAAGGACTGACTGGGTTGCTGAGTTAAGCATTCCCACGGTCCTAAGTGCTGGCCTAAGCACCTTGACTAAGCAAGATAGGGGTCATTTCCAAGAAAAAAGAAAAGAAAATAGGAAAAATCATAACATTACCCCCTCCTTAAGACCATCGTCCTGATGGTTCAGTTAGGGTAGACCCTCCCCTCAGAAGGAGGTGGCCGATCTGCTGGACCCGTCCGTCGGCTTGTGATGGCACATTGCTCTTCGTTGTATGTCTCCATCATTCTTGGTATGCCTGTCGCAGGGCCATCTTCATCGTCCTCTTGTAACATTCCCTTGTCATTGGCTGGTCGGTTGAGCATGTAGTTCCCCATGTCCAATCTGTTGATTCTGTGCTTGTAATCTTGTATGGCCTCTTTCGTATTCATGTATTTTTCGTTGACCCATTGGTTTGATTCTGGGCCATATCCTTTCCAGCTGACTAAGTAGTCAATGGTGGTCGTCATGCCTCCTCCTCGTGCTTTGACCTTTCGGGTTTTGTGGTTAAGCACCTCATCAATTTTGTAGTGTTCTTCATCGTCGATGAGTTCTGCCAGAGATGGTGGTGGTCATTCTTAGTTTGGAAAGGCTGGTGCGATATATGGGTTCAACAATGTTTCATTGAAAACATTGTGGATTTTCCAAGTTGCTGGCAACTGCAACTTGTATGCAGATCTGCCAATTTTAGCGAGGACTTTGAATGGGCCTGTATGTTTGTCTGCTAATTTTTGTTTTGGCCTTGGCAGGTGCAGGTTTGTGGTGTTTAACCAGACTTTGTCGTTGACTGAGTATTTGTGTGCTGGTTGTTTATACTTGTCATACTGCTTTTTCATTGATAAAGCAGCTTTTTCCAGTGCAGTTTTTGTTTCTTCATGGATCTTTGCCATTGTCATTGCAAAGTCCGCTGATGCTGGTGTTGTCGTATGTGCGCGGCCAGATTGTGCAACTGGTGGGTTCCTGCTGTAGTTCATAAAGAACGGTGTTTTGCTCATTGCAGAGTGAATTCTGTTGTTATATTGGAATGCTGCTAATGCCAGCCATTCCGTCCAGTCATCTTGCCAGTAACTGATGAAAAGTCATAAGTACTTTTCAATTTCCTGGTTGGCCCGTTCTGTTTGGCCATCGGTTTGTGGGTGGTATGCTGTTGAGGCATTCCTCTTGATGTTGAGGAGCCGATATAAGTTGTCCAAAAACTTGGAGACGAATTGTGGTCCTCTGTCTGAAATTACTACCTGAGGCATGCCATACTTTGCATAAACCTCGTCGCGTAGTATCTTTGCCCATCTCTTGGATGTCAATTCTATAAAACAGGTGATCGGTATGATCGCCTTCGAGAAGCGATCGACTATGATGATGATTGCATCATAGCCGTCGCTTTCGGGAAGTCCAGTTATCATATCCACCGAGATGTGGGTCTATGGTGATGAAGGGACCTCATTCGGGTGGAGTGGGGCTGCTCTGGATTGTGTTGAAGTCTTGCCTCACTGGCAAACCTCATAAGCCTTGACATATCGGGTGATATCATAGTCTATCTTGGGCCACCAGTATTCCCTCAAGACCAATTCTTTTGTTTTTGCGATGCCAGGATGTCCAGCCATCATGTGATCATGGCATGTGGCGATGATATCACCACGAAGCTTTTGATCTCTAGGGATATAGATCCGTCCATCATAACGGATCAATCCCCCTTCCTTCTTCAGTCCCCGCTCGTGATTGAGTGATGGGGCAATTCATTGATCCCACTTGTGCGGGTCTCGGGTGGCACTCTTGATGCGTTCATGCATCTCTTCTTCTATGGGCATGATCATAGCTCGGAAGTGTTCTGGTTGTAGTAATACAACCTCCTTGTTGTCGTCTCCTCCTTGGTCATGATCCGCCCGGTGACTAAGAAAGTTGGCTTTTTTATTTGCAACACCAGCCTTGTGGTGCAGTGTGTATTCATATTGGGATAGTTCCATGATCCATCATGCTTGTCTCCGATTAAGCTTTTGAGGTTGTCGGAAGTATTGGAGGTTCTGGTGATCTGTCTAGATCTCAAAGGTCTGGACTGCTCCAATGAGATAATGCTGCCATTCAGCAAGGGTGAGCATTATAGCAAGGAGTTCCTTGTCATAGATTTTGTAGTTGTGCTCAGTTACTGTGAGTGCTCTTGACATAAAGGTGACTGGTCACCATTTATCATTCTGTTTCTGTGAAAGTACCGCTTCAACTGCGCTCTTGCTGGAGTCAGCCTCCACTTGGAACCTCCCTTCCTGACTGGGTATAGCCAAAATAACGTCATCGGCTAGTCAGCGTTTAAGATCGTTAAATGCCGTCCGTTGGAAAATTCCCCAATTCCATGGGGAATTTTCAGTCAA